GTGTTTTTTTTGGTGGGGGGGGGGGGGGGGGGGGGGGCATCTTTGTAGAAGGAGCGTATCCTAGCTGAAAGCATCGAATCACAGTGCAGAGATTCCTTTCATCAAAATACGGTATATTTTCTTATCCTTGTATTTAAAATTGTTCGGATAAACTGTCTGTTGGCTTTTAAGTGTTGAGATTCAGTGACTGAGTGGCTTTGTCGATGCTGTAACTTCTTGTAGTGGCAGATTCTGTACATGTGCAAATGTTCAGCCTAGATGCTGGCAGACCCGCGGCCCACAAAATGTTTTGCACAGCGAGATTCAGTGCGATTATGCAGATCGGCCTTCTTCCATGTGCTTTGTTGGTATTCACAGGAAATATTACGTCTTTTGTAGCGTAAAGACAAAAATAAATTTTTTGACATGTGAATTGTGAATGTATAAGTGCCCTTGTGTTCTGCATCTGGGGAGGTGGGGTGGGGGGGGTAACGATATCGTGTTATCGTCTTGTATTTCTGTAAGATGGATGTTTTAGGACGCAAAACGTCAGATTCACGTATGTTCACCATAATAACTGTTATCACGTCCATCGATAAATTTATTATATTGAAATAACCGTTTCTCAGAGTTAAAGCGTCCCAGATTCTGGGCGTTTTGTCGCTGTGTTGCGAATATCTCAACAAAAAAAAATGGCCTCTCAACGTAGTAGGAGAATCTGCCCCATGCAACACCGTCCGTCTGTTCCTCACTGTGAACGCTGTTAGAGCAGAAAGGTGTTTCAAATGAGGCGCACTGTAGCATTTTGCTGGCATTGAATTCCGATACCGACGCGAAGCACTTGCAGAGAATGTCTTGAAATGGAGGGAGCAATCGATGAGTCGGGTCTGTAGCACTGCACTGTGGACTCGGATGTCTGTCTGGCCGAGTTGCCGGGGTCTGTGGCAATGTCCTGAAACAGCAGTAGGCTCTGTGATCAGTACTGCTGTGACAGGACAATATCACAGCCCGCCGACCGTCTTGATGCCTCGTTCTTATTCACCCACTCACTCCACTCGCTAGCCACTGACTGAGCGAAGGGGGTAGAAGGGTGGGTTTGAGGGGGTCCAGCAAGCAGTTCTTGCTCGCTAGCTCTGCTGCTCCTGCGCTCGTTGCCATGACAACGCGCAGTCCCCCTTCGGTCGTTCTACCCTTCCCCACTCTGTGTCGTATGCGCCGATGGTCCACTCACTTAAAAGCCGAGCATTCTTAGAACAGGACACCTGGTCTTTTTGAGATGAAAACCACGTGCTGGATGGTACATCTTGACCGCGGTGTCCGAGCAGGTCCGTCCGTGCCACAGCCGGTGCTGTGCGCAGCGCGAGGCGGTGTGAGGCAGCTGGCAAGCTGGGTGGCCGGGTTATTGATCTCGTAGGGGGTAGACGGGCGACGGGACACGACTTGGGAGTTTGTGTTTCAGTTGCGTGGGATCATGTATGGAGATACGTAAGTCTACGGTTTTGTTTAAGGACGTGTGGAAATGGAGCGGGTCTTACCTTCACGCACTGGGGGGCGGGCGAAGTAGATCCTCCAACTTCTGAAATCTAGCCGTTCCTCCTCTCGTGTACCTGGAACAGCGCAGATTACACGCGACATGTTAGTCACTACTGCAATATCGCACTTGCCTGAAAGAGAATGTTCAAAAGAACAACCCCACCCCCCACCCACCCTCAGGATTAGCGTTACCCCGTACCGTTCTTGAACTGCCTCGGTTCTCTTGTTCGCTCGTGTGTAACCCCCCCACCCTCTCGCATCAGCTGAAAGCTAGAGAGGGAGATACTGCTCTGCCCACCACCGGCTTCCTTGCCGACGCCTGCGCCGTGCGGCTTCAATAAGCGGACCGTTCTGTCCCTAAGATATGCACTTAAAAACGCATGTTCGATTTACGTTGTACGTAGAATGAGAATCAGAGCATCCAGTATGTTCACAGATTGAAATGTTAAAGTCCAGTTCTTGGAACACATTTCTGTAATATTGCAGGATACGAATCCAAATAATCGTTGGAACGTGTTTACTATCAGCAGTTAATATTTCGAGAATTTGTTCAAGAACAGTTACTATTAATGAGGCTAAGATATTTAAAGCTTTCTTGGTGGCTTTATGGACACCAACACCGTTCTTACAGAGCTGATCCCCGAGAAGACTTCATTGAACAAACATTAGATAGTTAATGATAATCAGTGCTGCCAAAACATTATTTTCAGACTGGATCTTGTACATGGGAAAGGTGATACAGACAGTGCTGGCAATAATCATCAAGGCAGCTGTGAGGAGACGCTGTAACAAAAAGAAACTAATCGCTGTCGCTTCTTGTATGTTGCAGCTCAGCGGTCATGGAAGGGAATGGCCTCATGGACCACGACCTCCATGGAAATGGTCTAATGCCGACGATGAACGGAAGCCAGAATGGATCTTCTGGGCGCTCAACCCCGAGCGGTGGTGATCCGGCTCCGGGGAAGTTGTTTGTCGGTGGCCTCAGCTGGCAGACGTCTTCAGAGAAGCTGAAGGAGTATTTTGGCATGTTTGGCACGGTCACAGATGTGCTTATCATGAAGGACCCCGTTACCCAAGTGAGTGGCCGTACCTATTTGTTCTCTCCGTTCGGTAACAAAGGAGTTGTCATGGAGCATCTGCCGTTGAATGGCTCTGTGAGCAGTAGTTACAGGACCTAATTCTGCCAATGTAGTCTAAATGAATGAAACTCAGGAAACAGATGGAAGAATTTGCTGGAGACGCTGGAGAAATTGTGTATGAGGAAATCGAGATTTTATTAGTAGGTGTCCCATGTGAAGTGTCGACACTAGGTCTTTGGCTTCTAAAGACGAAGGACACGCTGTTCACTGTCGCTTTTCATTCTGCTAATTATTAATCCCTAAAATGAGGAGGGTAGGGTTGGCAGGGGTGGAGCCCATAGCTTAAAAAGTATATGAACTACATATTGTCCCAAAACACATAATTTAGCAGGAGAAGACCCATAAGACTTGGCCCACAGAGTAGAGAATTGGCTTGATCTCGAAGCCGTGACACCCTGAATGCTGTCCTAAAAACATTGTCTTGCACTAAAAATATCCCGCTGTTGAAACTGTTCGTGTGATATTTGGTCACGTGAATGCGTTACCATTGGCGGAACTGATGTACTGAATTCTGCATAAACTATGTAATGCTAAAAACACAATAATGAGATAAAGCAGTAGAAAGCTAGAAAACTGATGGAGAACCGAGAGTCGCCCGATGCTTCTATACCGTGTATTAGAACTGCCGTGCACCTGCATAGGCGGGTACTTCCGTCTGAAGGTTGAATCAATTCTCCGCTGATACAGACAGTACGGGGGATTTATTCCAACAGATAATTAATTTGTGTCAATTTAAATTATGCCTTCTGTATAACAGAGAGTCTGTAAAAAATGTAATTAAAGATATAAATTTCTGTTTGGTGTATTTAAGGGCCTAAAGGGATTCAACCTCATAAATTTTAATGCCATTCATAGATGTTGTACATTGAATGATGTTATTATTGTTCCCACCTCACAAGTTTGCATGGCCATCTGTTGATATTGATGATAGATGATTGTCATGTCAAGACACGCCACTGAACTTTGATAAGAAATCATTTCAGGTGTGTTTGATGTGTCCATAAAGGTCCTGTGCTTCATGTCGTGAACCACCGTATTCCAAATAAAAAGATGTTGATTTACATTCATGTTTCTTGAACATGCCAGAAAAATGGCTGACTTGGGTCACAAAATTAAGAATTCTTGCTTCAGACTGTTAACGCCTTGACCTTGACCACTAAGCTGAGCGCAGTAGACATTATAAATGCATCCACTTTTTAGAAGTATAACAGCTTATGCTGTATCTTATGGTTCATTGTTCACTTTGAAAAACTAGTTTTCGGTGATTAAACGTGACTCATGTGCCCAAGAGGAAAGGGAATTAGAGCATGAATTAGAAATTTGTTTTCACGTTTGTTGCAGAGAAGCCGTGGATTTGGGTTCATAACATTCTCAGAGCCGGATACTGTTGAGAAGGTCCTGAAAGTGCCTATCCACACTCTTGATGGCAAGAAGATTGATCCGAAACATGCCACGCCAAAGAACAGAGCTAAGGTTGGTAACAGGACAAAGAAGATTTTTGTGGGCGGCGTGAGCCAGGATACGTCATCCGAAGAGGTGAAGGCCTATTTTGGCCAGTTTGGCAAGGTGGAGGAAACTGTGATGCTGATGGATCAACAGACAAAGCGTCACCGTGGCTTTGGATTCGTCACCTTTGAGAATGAAGACGTGGTGGACCGAGTGTGCGAGATCCATTTCCACACTATCAAGAACAAGAAGGTTGAATGCAAGAAGGCTCAACCGAAAGAAGCAGTGCAGACGGCAACTCTGTTGGGGAAACGCATGGTTCTGGGCCCGCTGGGAGTTCGGATGGGGGCCCCGCAGCCCCTGACGCCAGCCAGTCAGCTAGCAGCTGCGCAGGCCCAGGCTCACGTTCAAGCAGCGACGGCAGCAGCCGCACAGGCTCAAAATGCAGCTGCTCTGGCAGGATATGGGAAGCTGTTTGGAACGTACCCGACCCTGGCGAGCTATCGGTACGCACCGTACCCCATTCCTACAGCAGTCGGAGCGGTGGGTGGTGTTGGTGCTGGAGTTGGAGGAGTAGGAGCAGCTGTGGGCGCGACAGCAACGCCTA